GATTGTGAAGAAATTGTTAAACAACATTCACTGCAAAAACAAGGTTACTATTATTATTTTCACTTTGAACTTTGATGAACAAGGGTGGCACGGCGGTGCAGTGGTTAACATTGCCCTGGGTTCATTTCTGGACCGGGACATACTGGTACTGTAGGTTAATTGGCTTTTGAGAAATCTGTCCTTGCTGTGAGTGTGCATGTGTTCTCTGTGTGTGCCCAGTGATGGACTGGTGTCCCAGCCAGGGTGTACCCAGTTGCTTGCTGGGATAGTCTCCTCCATGACCCTGAATTGGATAAAGTGATTAGAAAATAGATGGATTTGATGAATAACAGTTCACTGATAAATGGCAAAGCATCTTCTGACAAATGAGAAGATAAATGTCTGTGCTGTCTCTTTTGGGAACATCCCTCCATCATGCAGCAAGAATAAAGTTTTGAATTTTGCTCTCATCTCTGCTCATTTTTGCTCTCTCACAAAAAGGTATTTCTCTTCTGCAGCAGTCCTGGTTTTTAAACACCTGTTTTGCTTAGTGCTGCAGGAGTATTGAGCGCCAGTGCAGTTTTCACATACTTTTTGACTACTGCCCTGTTCTCAGACTGACAGCTGTCCGGACCCCCGCTAATAAAGTTACGTTCGTTCATGTTAGATGTTGGAGTCCTCCAAGGGTGCACGTCCTTTCATTTTTGTGGACAGGATATCATGGTGCATCTGAAATAAGGAGAGTCTGGGGTTTGTGATGGAGGGCTCTGGTGCTCGTAGATGGTGTTGTCCTTCATCCTTGCACAGTATGGTTCACTGCCAAGTGAACCCTAATCATTTGCAATGCTGTAGCAGAGGTCAGAGCACTCTGCAGGATATGATAACTACTCATTGTCTTAAATTTCTATTGTAAAGTGTGTACAGAATTTACTAAACAGTTCCAAGCATACTCCAAGTAACTAAAACTTCAGCTGTGAAACTGTCATGCAGTTTCTGTATATAACAAATTTCCAGGGATTTCCTACGTACAGTGGGCTGACTGACCTCTCTACTTGTATGACAACTTTATTTCTACTCTGTTCATCGATTTTTAAAATCCATCCTTGGACCGGTGTTTGATCTGATTCCAGTGCTTTTTTTATTTTATTTTCATTAAAGTGACTGTATTTGATTTATCAAGCATTTCCACCCATATTGCGTTTTGTTGACTAATTGTGCTACTTTCTGTGAAACAGCCTTTTTATACAGCTTTACTGACTTTTCCTATATGTTTCTCCAGTGTAAAATACTAGGAACACAGATAGGTTAAATGAAGGCACACCTTACTGTATTGTTTGAATTTAAGATTCTTAAATTCACTAGCAAACATTTGTGCACAGCTCAGGTCAATACCAATCCTTAGTGAATATACAAGAAACAGAACAGGAAAATGGTCCACTTATAAAATGCCAATTGTCTCTTATTTACTCTTGGCAAACATTCAGTGAATTTCATCCATAGTTTCATGTCAAACTCAAAACTCAGTGACCGATATTGTTATCCAGAATTAACACAATTTTACTTGAAAAGGTAAAATTGTTAAGAATTCATCTCCTGGGTGGATCAACCTGTTAATTCAGATCCGAAAATGAAAATAAGTGTTGATCCCAAAACATTAGCTCAAAACCACTTTATTTAACATTCTTCACGTCAATTAGGTAACTGTTTTAGCTGCAAATAAAAAAAAAATATATATATAGTGAATTTTAAACTTTGGGTTTTTCTAAGCACTGTCTTATGTTTTAACTGCATACTGGATTCATCTTCCTCTGAAATTATTAATTTCAGTGCAGTATACATTCTCTTTTTGCCTGATTTGTTTTAAGAAAATCATAGATGTGGAAACAAGGAAAGCTTCTGTAATTTCACTATAGGACTCAAAATTCAAGCAAACTCAAATTTCTAAAACAATGAATTAAAATTTCACATTAATGACATTCTACCTGCTATTTGTCTTTATGTCAGTTTGCCATGTAAAGTTTTATATTTTTGAAGGATAAAATATGTTTTATTTTAACCCACCTAGACTATAATCTTTAAATTGTACATTTGTACACACATAATCACATTTTTGGCACTATACATCAACAATTTAAAACAGATAATGTACTGAATCCTGCACTGTATACAGAGCATTTGAGAACAGAACGCGGTCTGTGCGAGTTTTGTTTCCCTGCTGGAGGCAGCTTCATATTTACCGCTGACAGAGAGCTCCGACAGCTTGTCAGGAAGGTCGGCTGTGGCCGTTCCAGCAGGAGACCCCAGGATGTCAGGCAGGGCGTTCCTGCGGCCAGCTCTTCCTGTGGCTGCGAAGTCCGTCACGACAGGTTCGACATCAGTCATTGCTGGGTCCTGTCCTCACAGCATGATCTGAAAGAAGGCGCCGCCTCAGTCACTTCAGCCTTGTTTTAAATGTTTATCTGAGCACCATGAAACGCATCTTAATTGATTTCCTCCTGTGACAATCTCCCATTGTCGACGTAGTCCTGTGACTTCCTTTGTCCAAATATTGATGGTCATTTGTCAGCTTCATGTCTGGAAGCGGTTGTATTGGTCTTTCTTCTCATTTTCATATGTGTGAACAGTGCGTGCAAGAAAATGATTTATTACTATCTTCACATCTCCATTTTTCAGTCAAGCGTACTGCTTTTTTGAATTACAGTTCAGGGGATAATTGCACTGCAAATACTGAGCATGCAACGTAAAGTAATTTCTACATCTTCCGACCTTCATCTTCACCTTGATGCAAGTCAAATTAACCCCATGTTCTCTGATTAGTAATTAGAATTCTCTGTGTTTTACATAATATTGTTTTAGCTACTCTTCACACAAAAGGTTGGTACTTATTCAATCTAAACTTAGCCTTCATCATATTTAGTATGTTTACATATCTAAGAACAATCAGGGATATAGGTTCAGTTTCAAGGATCTGAGCAAGAGTAAATAAGAAGAAAATAATTTGTTTAATGTTAGATTCCATGGATTGAAAATTACCATTAAGGATAAACCTACAAAATCCCCAGATCCAAATGTTATTTTGCAAAAAAAAATACAGGGAAATCCTTGTTATAAAGATGTGAATTTGAAGATGCTATCAAACAATTTTTGTACAAATCAACAAAAGAAAAAGACATTCTAGACCCCATCCAGAATGGGCACATATATGTTTATGCAATTCAAATTAACTAAGTGTGAGATTGTACAAATACAGTAGGTAAGAAGAATGAAATATACAGTATCTAACATAAAGCACTGAGTTCAAATGGGTAGCTCAGGAAAAGGTTTAAGATGCTTATGTTAGTAAATCATTGGGAGAACATGATGAATGCTAGCAGAGTGTTTGGGAACATTGCTTGAATATCGGTATATTGTATGTTCAGAATTGGGTACCATTCTACAAAAAATTAATTGTGGCATTATGATTAATTCACAGAACAGAAACCACAATAAATTCCTGGCTGATGATCCTGGTTAATTATTTAGATACAAGTGTGTGACAAGCCAGGTCAGGAAGGACTACAATTTCAGGCGACCTTCCACTAGAAGCATGAGAAAGGCTTTCATTATCTCACTGGGTGATGATTGTTAATTGATTAGATTATTGGCGCTTTCCAATACAGGGCAAATTAAGGATTTTGTTTGTTCTAGTGGTTGCTGGGTTAGAAAAGATGGCAGTGTGTTGTCAGAAACCACACGCAGGCATTTTTTTAAAGAGGAAAATGACAAAACCACAAGCAGACGACACAGAAATGGTTGATACACCACCGATATCCAGAAAAGCCCACAGTATGACTCTGAGATCTGACCGACCAGAGAGGTGGGCTTCCCCCTGTCAGTTCAGACTGCCTTCAAGAACAGTCCTGGTCTTCAGCTACTGCTCTGGCAAAGTGTCTGGCTGCTGACACAAAGGCTTTCTATCCTACATAATTAATATGTAGTGTTTTGGTTGACCTACCCCCCAGCTATCAATGTACTGTAACTAGATACACTGCACAGTCCCATGCAGCCAGAGTTTAACTTAATGGAAAGAAATAGAGCGATCTCTTTACTGTGACGCTTTGTGAACCATGCTGCTCCTTATAGAATGTAGTACTTATTCTCTTTATTATGCATATATATATGGGCTGCATTGGAGCTGATTATCTGTTTTAAATTTACCTAACTTCTAAATGTCTTACTAGATAGGAATTAAGATTTACACAGTACAATAAACATAAATTTAGTAAGTAATGTGTTCTTCCGTGAACTCTATTTAACTGCTATTAAACAGATGCTTATGCATGTAAAGGACACACAAAAATAAATTTCAAATATTAGCTTCAGTGTTATCACTATATTATTAATCAAGGAGAACAGGCATACAGATGATCAAGAAACAACGTATTGGAGTCAATGTCTCAGTTCCCTGAATGTGGCTTAAATAACGTCACTTCCTGTACTCTAACTCCAAACCTCTGTGTTACATTACATTTACATTTACATATACATATACACATACATATACATGCAGTATGTACATATATACTGTATATGTGCTGGGTGTGTGTTTGTTTCTCTCCCTGCCCTGCGATGGCCTGGTGTATCCTCCAGGGTGTATCCTGCCTTGCGCCAGTTACTTGCAGGGAAAGGCTCTGGTTCACCTACAGTATAACCCTGAATTGGGTAAAGCGATTAGAAAATCATAGAGTGGATATGTCCTGTAGCTAATCATATTAAAAACACAATAAATGTGATTGGTTCCAATACTAATCTGTTTCAGTACTCATTCACACATATACTGAGACAGATAAATACATAAACAAGAAAATGATGAATGATTGATATGAAAATGTATATCATAAACTATACATTAGGAAACTATACTGTATATCCATCACTGTACAAATATATTTAAATAAACAATGCTTCTGCATTCTACAAAATCAAATCATTGTAACTGAAAGCCCTGCATAATTATCAAAACTCATAAATTACTGACTGTGAAGTTTTATTTATAAAGTTAATATCTCATGTACACAATTAATTTATAGTAGCAGGAAAATGGGAACACATACTGTACTGTAGCTGTTCAGCAAAGTTGGGAATTGGTCATGTGGGCAGCGCAATGTGTGTCAGTTGTTTGTTTCTCAATGACTCTGGGTATGATGCATGTGTGTGTGCATATGTGGGTGTGTGTGTGTGCGCATGTGTGTGTGCGTCTGTGTGTGTGTGTGCATGTGTGCGTGTGTGTGTGTGCGTCTGTGTGTGTGTGCGCATATGTGTGCATGTGTGCGTGTGTTTGTGTGTGTGTGTGTGCATGTGTGCGTCTGTGTGTGTGTGTGCATATGTGTGCATGTGTGCGTGTGTGTGTGTGTGTGCATGTGTGCACACAAAGGACAAAGGATATTCTGGGACAGAATTGCAGGATAGAAGCTAACTAATGCCTGTTTCAAAAAAGAACATAGGAAATATACCGTGAAAGTCTACAAAAAACAATGTAAATGTGTGCTTTAGACCTATAAGGGTTTTATGTTCTCTGGTGAAGCTGTTTATCCTGAATGATTTGTACTGTTTACTGCAAGTCTCTTTGTCACGCTCTGTTGATTCTGCTGCAAAGTTGGCCGCCGAACTTTCTCTTGATGTGAGAGCTGCTTCAACCTTAATTGAAGCACAAGTACCAGAGAAATGAAGGGTACAATACACTGCTTTGATCTCCGAAAATGCTTAATGTACAAAGATCGGCAGCACGACAGCTCTGGCTCTTATTGGGCAGAAGGGAAAATGCACTTTTTTAACCCAACTGTTAGTGTACTGTAGCATGAAATTAGTTCCATCAAAAGCTTTTATAGGGTGTTCTTATGACATGGTTAGAAAGGACAGGAGGCAAACATGTAAAACATATCCAACATAAAAACACTTTGCTCACTGATGTTATTAATAATGGCACAAACTAAGTGACATACAATATGGCAAAGTCAGATATTGCCTTTTGTTTTTTCTTAATATTGTTGCTTTGTCTCTGTTCTTTGCATTTCACGTGGGATATACTGAATGTCCCTAAATGTTCTTATTTCAGGATTTTTACAATATCTTTTTTATTTTTAATACAGTGAAACCAAGCACATTAAACTAATCAGACTAGGGTAGAACCCTATCCTCACAGGTCTTGGATACCATCGCATTTGCTGACTAGAATCTCAGCTGAGTTCTACAGTAGGTAACTAAAGTGGTCACTGTAAAAAGATGTAACAAATTTTCATTTAACATTCTTTTTTTAAACAGTTGGAAAGTACAAGACTGGTGCTATATTGTGTCAGTTGTCTTAACATTTTAAATGTTGGAAAACATTGACAGGTTTAGCTATACAAACTGTATATCAAAGAACATTAAGTGTCTGTGTTCACTGGGAGCCAACAAAGGCAGCTCTTGAAGGACTGTGGTAAATACACATTACTGGCTTCTGTGTTTGCTCATACTATGCTTAATGACGCTTTTCAAGTATTGTTCTTACACACTGAGCACTCAGAGTGCCCTGCAAAACCTTCCTATGGTATCCCATTTTGTGGAAATTGTAAAATGATGCACACACATTTTTTATCTTAATATTTCATCCAACACCTCAATGCTCAAACTGGTTTTCCTCTCGTATTTGCCTGTATGTTGCAACATCCATTTTTCTTCAAACGGCGTGAAGGCCAATGATGATGCACCCCTAATCAGCTACACTGGTATGTTGCTCACTCTTGGACTGTTTCCCCTACAGTATCTCGGATATGTAACTCTTTCTACTACTGGCATCATCCCTAACTAACCTCCTCATTGGCCAACTGCTCGATCTGGAGGCACAGCCTGATCTATGCCTTTGGTTGCCTTCCACTTTTTAACGATCAGCTTCCCTCACATACGTCTTTCCTCCACCCCATCTCCGCCTCTGCAGGCACCCCGTATCCCGCGGCTGGTGGAGGAATCCTACTCCACTGGGCCCCTGAGCAAGGCCCTTCACCCCAACTGCTCCAGGGGCGCCGTATAAATGGCTGACCCTGCGCTCTGACCCCAAGCTTCTCTCCCCGTCTGTGTGTCTCATGGAGAGCAGGCTGGGGTCTGTGAAAAGACAAATTCCTAATGCAAGAAATTGTATATGGCCAATAAAGTGATCTTATGTAATACTTTCTGAACACTTTATTCTTGGGTGTTGTTATTCCTAGTGAAATATTACTTGATACTTCAAACTGTCATGACTCCAAGCTTTAAAGAAACAAAACGTGAAAGCTGAGTACTTTTGCAAGAACCAGTAAAAATCTTAAAAACAATCTATCCTTCAGCAAACCAATCTTTCTATACTATTTTTTGTATCTGTAGACTCCAGACGTCTTTCATCTATTTTGGTTTTT